GAGAGAGCAGGGAAGGAAAGGTATGGGTGGGTAGGGGTTGGGGTTTTGATAGACAGGATGTACACAATAAAAAGACTCAGAGCACAATGTCAGAGAAACAACCCAGGTGTCAAGAGGACGTCAAGACATACAGGGTGAGGTTAAAAGGCCAATAGTTGAAGAAGGCATTCTGCATGCATTGTTTGTGGCAGACTTGTCAACTCATGCTGTGGTCAGTAAGCGAAGGGGCAAGTGACCGGTCTAGTGAGTCACATCCAGGTGCCCACAACAATTCATTGTCAGAGATGACCACTACTGCGTCATTTATAGTGCGGTCAAAAATTTGTGGCGCAACTTATCCTCAAATATCTCTTTAACGGGTGAATCAATGTCACCCATACTTTGCACATCAGTTTGTATCAATTTGTCTTAACTTAATCACATTTTCTCATAACAACTGAGGCTCGATTAAAAAACTTTTCTTCATAAATTTATATAAAATACTTAAATCTCCATCACGCTTAAAATATGATTGTTCACAGCGCTTCCCACTTCTTGCACACATTTTGCATACGCAAATGGCCTTCGTCACAGCTCGCCAATGACACTTTTTAGTGGCAAAACTTCTTACAAGATATTAATCTTATAGTGAACAAACAAAGTTTTTGCACTAAAGGTTTCTTAAACATACGTTCAATAAGCATAATATTGAGATTACAAAAAAAAAAGACAGATTTGCTTTTAAAAGCGATATTGCCCGAGCTTTAAAAAATCTGTCGAAACCATCGATTGGGATTTTAAAATTTATACTTATTAGGAAATTTTTTAGAATACAATGTGCAGAAGTTTGAAAAAAAATATAAATCAGTTCAGACAAAATTGATATTAGTCATTGTGCGAAGGTTGGAGAATCTATGTTCGACAGTTAAGGAGATATTTCACATTAAGTTGCGCCACGAATTCTTAACCGTGCTATAGGTGGTCTTTTCAGAGTCACCGGTGGTCAGTGGTGGATGGACAGACAGGTGGTGACACTCAGCGGTGTGTGGGGGGGGGGGGGGGGTTGGCTATTTTTCAACCCCGCCCACTATCAGAGAGTGTTGTTTGACTCACCTGAAGTTGTGATGTAGCTGAAGGTTTGTTGTAGAACATGAGGACTGGCTCATCGTGCCGATAATGTACGGGCTGGAAAACACACAGAAGAGATCCATGAGACATTGGTACATAAAAATCTGACGCAACAACTTCAGATAGTTCATAAAAGTAAAATCCCATTTATTAAACTCATTGAGTCCCGTAGATCATTTTTCACCGTTCCCAGTTCATTTACCCATTTTTCTTTTACAAAACATTTTTTTCCCCCATTTCCAAGCCATCTACTTGCATTGTTCAGGGAAAAAAACCGATCTGTGAAACAAACTTCTAGCTAAGTACTTTTCATTGATTAAAAGTATCTAGTAATTAAAAGAATTTTCTATCTGGCGTGAAATTTTCTCTCAAATACATCTATTGATGTGTCTAATACACACCCGGCCCTTGAGACAAACTCTTACGTTACTAATGGAAATATCCTAAACAATCTCTCCCATCACCAACACAGAACCATCCCCACCATTACCCACTACTCCATGATTGATTGATTGATTGATTGAGTAGGTGTTTTACGGCACTATTGACCCAATTCTGGTCCCACTACTACATGTACTCACCACTTCTGATACTTGACGCTGAGGAAGCCATTGAAGACGTCAGCCAGTGAGTTGACGTGGTGGAGATTGTCCAGAATAATGGCCGAGGGGAGGGCGTGGACATTTGTGTTCTCGCACTGGTCAGCGATGTTGGCCAGGTATTGACGCAGCTCTTTGGCCGACTTGTGGTCAACGTTGAAGGTCGCCACTGATCCAGCGGTCAACTCCCGCCCAGACCTGATTGTAAATAGGGAAGAACAGTTTGTATATGATAATAATAATGAAAATAATAATAATAATAATAATAATGATAATAATAATATTATTAATAATAATGATAAAAAAATAGCATTTGTATAGACGGGTGGCTGGTTGGTACTCTGGTGTGTTTTGCTCCTTCTTTCCTATCAAACATCTATCGTCTTGATCTCTCCTATTTCTTTTTTGTATTTGTTACTCTCTTGTTACATCTCTAGTCTTCGGCATTTATATGACCTTATTATGTTGCAAGTGCTGTAAAAATCTGACTAAAAGTTTTTTTAAAACTCAAACATTTGTATAGTGCATATTCCTGCTTGACAGCAAGCTTTATGGACTTAACATTATACTGAGATAAAAAGAAACATCCACCTCTCAAGAAAGGTTAATGAGTGATGTGATAGGGGCAAGTTGTTGTTGTGTTGTAGTTTACTTTTTAGTCGGCACGATAGTGACCACACATCATTTAGAGGAAGGTTGAGATAACAGTAGCCCTGGTGAGAAGAGGAAGGTGCAAACCATACCAGAGCACCCACCAACAGCCCTCAAGACATACCTTTCCCTATCTTACTACACGCTAGTTCTCTCTCTCTCTCTCTGTGCCTAATACATCTTTACCGTCTTCAAAATGACCAAAATGGTATCGATTCGGGTTGTAAAACATTCATAGGAATTTAGAGAAATGAAATGCTCACCTCAACACGACATGCTCGGCCAGTTTCTGTGCCAGGTATGTCTTCCCCGTGCCACTTGGGCCACAAAGGATGATCCGGCGATGCTCCAACAGGAGAGACACGTAGCGTTGGACGATCGTCTTCGGGATCATCGTCTCAAATGCCAGGGAATCCACACACGACTGTTTGGTACCTGTGTGGGAGATCATAGTAACAAGAGTACCGATAAGTGGTCAGGACGGGAGGAAATCCTCTTCTTTTTATTCTGTCTCACCGGCGCCTATAGTGTAGCCGTTAAATGCTTCGCTGTCACATGCAGGAGAGGCTAGTTTGATTCTAGAGTGGGGATTAAACTTTTATTGAGTATTTCAGTCTTTCTGCTTTGATATTGTATCCCTCTCAGCCTGAGCTGGCCCTGAAAGGCAAAGTTGGCTTTTGCCCACCCCCGAAATGATCTATTGTATCGGGGGGAGTAAGAAGAAATATTTTTTTCATCAAAATCATCACCATTTCTGAGAGCCAGGGACTCAACTTGTGGCAAAAAAATATTGAGGCTTGCAAGAAGAAGGTGTTTTACGGTCTCTACTTGAATTTAAAATTCAGCGTGTCTGTGGCCCTCTCTCCCTCTCTCAAGACTAGTAACATAGCTGAGCTATAATGTAAGAGGTGATGCTGGTAGGTCTCTGGCAGAAATGAAAAGGAAATAGAAGCCTTATGTTCTGAAGATCCGGTCATGTTCTGACATGTATTAACAGAGACCGAGAATCTTTAAAAATTACTTTAAGAAACATTTTAAAATTATTTTATGGATTACTTAATACAGTTCAGGTTCACATAGACTCTAACTCCGGCGGCTCCTCGAGTAATTTGAGTTTTCGCCCTCTGATCTACATGGTCTGACAGTTCCTGCACTAAATGAACATGCATGGTCTGTGAACGTTTTGAAATGTAGCACGTACCACCACAACTTTTCACTAAATTTCTTTGTGTGCTGAAATTCATTGATGGACGAATGATTAACTGAATCGACTGAAAACATCGGTAATTCAAACACCTTTGAACAAAGATGAATAAGCAATTTAAGACCACTTTGCTCAGGCTAGAAAAATCAATGCCTGTCTAGGAATACCTCTCACACCAAAGTGGGTAATTAAGTTGGCGGATGCCGTCATTATCAGAAATTGTTTTAGGATTTATTCTACGAAGGAAGCATTATTAACCAAACTTTGACACATTGTGCCTCAATTAAATTATTATACACTGCAGTTTTTGTTTGTTTTGGGTTTTTTTTCCCCGTGTCCTGATTTTGGTGCCGATATTTGTAGGTTGCGCAATAACGTGATGAAATGGTGCAAATTGTTATCATACGCTGTCGGGTAAAACCACTTTAAACAAGCACTTAGCTTTTTAAGAAAATTATTTTTAAAATTATAAAACGTTTGACACTGTTGACAAAGGAGAAAACTGATATTTGCATAGTGATAACCAAAAATAAATTGAGAGTTTAAAACAATTTACATATTTTAAGAAACTGGGGACTGGCACTGGCACGGCGGATCTGCAGATATATTTATTAATTTCAAGTTAGAGCAAAGAGAAGCACATCGACATAAAAATGTTTATATAGTGCAAGGAAGAAGCAAGACAGAGAGACAGAAACAACAGAGGGAAAGAAAAGAAGTAGGACCTACAAGTGGCACCTGAACACCACCCATGAAGAGAAATTTGCATCAGGAGAATTTTGGAAAATGAGCAACTACTCTAGCAGCAACCATCGCAGCAACTCAGTTGCGTCAGGTAACAACTCAGATCTCTTGGTCATTCTGAATGTATATTTGTCAGCCCCTCTGACCCTAGCTGGATGTATCGCCAATGTGATCAACATCGCTGTGTTCTGTCGAATGGACCGACGACAGACGATTAACATCAGTCTTCTCGCCATGGCCGTCTCCGATCTCCTGGGGTTGTTGGGGACTCTATGGCGCTGTATCGCCTTCTTCCCGGAGGTGGTCCAAGCACCGAATTTGTCCTTTCACCCACTTAGCATGGCTTATGGTGTTGGGGATACTACCCGGTTCTTCTTCGGAAGAATCACAGCCTGTCTGACTTTGTTGATATCTGCTGAAAGATGTTTATGCATTCTGTTACCCTTGAAAGTGAAGACTCTCATCACCACCCAGAAAATCAAAGTCATTATTATTGCTATTTACATCTTTGTGGTGGCTTCCAATTCTTGGGTATTCTATCTTTATAGATTTGTGTGGGTACATTCAGCTGAAAGAAACAGAACTCTTCTCATGTTTAAAGGAATTAAAAACAAAAGACACATCGAAGTGCCTCTGATTGTAGTGAACAATTTATTTCTTCAGTGCGCCCTCTCAGCCGGTATTATGGTCTTCAC